GCTGAACCCTGAGCCCGAGGACAGGGCAGAGAGGAGAGCCTTCCAGCTGGATCCCACTTCCGGCCATGTGGGGCTGGGGGCCATGCCACTCCAAGCTGGCCAGGACATCCTACTTCAAGTGCTGGCAGTTGACCTAGCAGGAGCAGAGGGTGGTGAGTGCCCTGATGGCAATCAGGCCCCTGCCTCCTCTGTTCCTACCTGGGCCTCACTGACACACCCTGTCCTGCCTCAGGCCTCAGCAACACGTGTGAGCTCACAATTACAGTCACAGACATCAATGACCATGCGCCAGAGTTCACCACCTCCCAGGTAAGCAGAGGCAGGGGAGGAGACTCGGGGACGGGCGCTGGTTGGGGATTTACCACCCCTCTCCACGGCTCCAGATTGGGCCTGTAAGCCTTTCTGAGGATGTGGAGCCCGGGACTCTGGTGGCCACACTCACGGCCACTGATGCTGACCTTGAGCCTGCCTTCACCCTCATGGACTTTGCTGTTGAGGCGGGGAACACAGAAGGGACCTTCGGCCTGGAGTGGGAGCCAAACTCTGGTCATGTCCAGCTCCGACTCCAGAAAGTAAGGGGCAGGCGGGTGGGAAAGGGGCGCACATGCCCTCACATACACCCACATACATGCACAGTGTGCCACGCCCCTACCCCCATAGTGACCCCGGCCTCACTGCCTCTAGAACCTCAGCTATGAGGCAGCCCCTAGTCACGAGGTGGTAGTTGTGGTACGCAGTGTGGAGGAGCTGGTGGGGCCAGGTCCGGGTCCCAGAGCCACGGCCACAGTGACTGTGCTGGTGGAGAGAGTGATACCACCCCCCAAGTTGGACCAAGAGAGCTATGAAGCCAGCGTCCCAGTCAGCACCCCAGCCGGCTTCCTCTTGCTGACTATCCAGGCCTCAGACCCCATGAGCAGAACCCTCAGGTGAGTAGAAAACCCAGAAAACCCACCTCTTCCCAGAGGTGACTCCAGGGCCTCAGAGGGGATTCACATGGCCTGGAATATTCCTTAACTGTGGCTAATGTCCAGGTGGTGATGCCTGGCGGGGCACCAGGGCTGGATGGACTGGGCGGGACGTGGGGAGCAGGGTCAGACAACTGGAGAGCTCAGATTATGACTCCCCATGGAGAGGGAGGACCAGGCCTCCTCAGCCTCCAACCTGGGTAGCTGCATAGCCAAGGCATTTCCAGGCTCCAACCAGATCCCGTCCAGACCCCTTTGCAGTGTGGCCTGGAACTATTGAAGTTGAATCAGGCCCCCTAGGCCCACCCACAGTTACCGTTGTTCAAACATACCCCTGCAAAAAGCCCTGAAGCTAAAGAGAGGGAATGGGCATCCTTGCACTGTTGCTGCCCCGAGTCACAGAGAGAATGTGGAACCCAGGCAGGTTGCTCAGCCCTGGGGGTCTCTGGACAAGACCCCACGTGTAATCCCAGTGTCTGCCCATCCCCACCCCATTTCCTGGGCCTCAGGTTCTCCCTGGTCAATGACTCAGAGGGATGGCTCTGCATTGAAGAGGTCTCTGGGGAGGTGCGCACGGCCCAGTCCCTGCAGGGAGCCCAGGCTGGGGACATGTACACAGTGCTGGTGGAGGCCCGGGATGCAGGTATGGCCAGGCAGTGGTGGGGGCTTCTGGAAGGGAGTACAAGCCTCAGACAGACAGACAGACAGACTGATTAACAGGACTAGGCTTCCTCCTGGGACCCTTCCAGGATCTACCCAGCCCCAGGCAGGAGGAAGGGGCAAGGAAGCTGAGTCCAATGTACCTCCTCTGAGAATGTCTGTCCCCAGGTGGGCAGGACTGGCTTCTGTCTCCCCTCAGTCATCTGATAGCTTGGCACTAGAAATCCCCCACCCCGGCCCCTTAGCCCCAAGCCCTTTAGCTCCCCTCAGGGTGTGGCCTTCAGGGATGGGCTGGGGACAGAGAGTACAGGGGCCAGATGGAAGGGGCCAGAGGCTGCATCTGGGGCAGGCATGCTGGGAGAGGAGCCAAATGGGACATTGAGGTGAAATGTGGAGGACTCTGAATGTCACTTTGACAGAATAAAGAACTGGCTGGGCATGGGTGCTTCAGGGAGGAGGTTTCAGCTCTGAGCTGGGTTGTTCCGAGGTACAAGGCGTTTCCACACGGCTGGGTCCTGGTTTCTGCAGGGAGTGGTGGTGAGGGCAGGCTTGGCATCCAGAAAGGTGCAGGTGAGCCTGGCATGGAAATGCCACTGGGATGTGGAGAACGTTGAGTGTGGAGAGAATGGCAGAGGGCCGAGCAGGCTAAGCAGTCCGCAGCCAAGGCTGAGCAGCTGTATGAAGAGGGCCGGCCATGGGCTCCGAGCTCATCCACCTTCCACAATGTCTGGGCCAGCTCAGCTCTGCCTTTTCTGCAGATGAGCCAAGACTGAGCACCTCTGCGAGCCTCGTGATCCACTTCCTGAAGGCGCCTCCTTCCCCAGCCCTGACTCTGGCCCCCATGCCCTCCAGTCACCTCTGCACACCCCGCCAGGACTACGGTGTGGTTGTCAGTGGACCCAGCAAGGACTCTGACCTAGCTGGTGGGCATGGCCCCTACAGCTTTGCCCTGGGTCCTAACCCCACGGTGCAGCGAGACTGGCGCCTCCAGCCTCTCAATGGTGTGTGGCAGGGGAGTGAAGGGAGGCTGTGGCCAAGGCAGGGAGGGGGCATCACCTGAAAGTGATGGGGTGAGGCTGGCCTGGGGGAGCAGTCCCCAGAGGGCCTGTCCTCCCTGGTCATTGCTTCTACTCCCGACAGGTTCACATGCCTACCTCACCCTGGCTCTGCACTGGGTGGAGCCAGGTGAACACATAATCCCTGTAGTCGTCAGCCACGATGCCCGGATGTGGCAGCTCCCAGTCCGAGGTGAGGCTGAGGCTCTGCAGCTGCAGTTCCTGCAGGAACCATTGGAATGCCAGGGGAAGGGCTGGTTGCATATGCATGCGGGTTCACACAGATGGCCTATATGCCTATACACACTTGCACATTTGAGGTCGGGCACGCACACCTGCATATGTACACAGGCACGTGCACAGAGGAGCATTTACCTTCATACATACATGAACACATATGTGTGCACAAACACACATGTATCAGTCAGCTGGCCGGGCTGTGGGCTCTGAGCACCTGGGGAGCCCTCTCCCACCACCCTTACCTTCTCCCACCCCAATCCCAGTGATCGTGTGTCGGTGCAACACGGAAGGACAGTGCATGCGCAAAGTGGGCCGCATGAAGGGCATGCCCACGAAGCTGTCGGCAGTGGGTGTCCTCGTGGGCACCCTGGCAGCAATTGGTAATGGAGGCCGGGCCCCCGTGTGGGGGAGGGTGAGGGGTGGTTGGAGCCATAGACTGGATAAACAGTGCCGCTTGTCCCCATGGTATTCTTGAGTCTGAAAAGGCAATACCCCTCAATTCTTTGTTCATCAATAAATAATGCCCTTGCCCCTCGTAATCATCAATAAATAATGACACTTAGCATTACTCAGCCGTCTCCCGCCACCTTCACACATGGGTGTCAGGCACTATGCCAAGGCTCTGTGTGGATTATCACAAGGACTCCTGCCCACAGCCCTGTGAGTACATCCTGGCTTCTCCCCATTCTGCAGAGGGGGTCACTGACACTCAGAGACTTGCTCAAAGTGACACAGCCAGGATGTGACAGAGCATAGTAGTTTTAGCCCAGTTCCTCCAGTCTAGGCCACCCTCTCTATTGCTTTTATTTCTTTAGTTCCCTAAAATTTTCCGTTGCTGGCTTTCTTTGCCGGTTCTGGCCAAGAGGGTTCTATTGGAAGTCTATTAGAACAGCTCACTGGCTCCCAGATGAACCCCACCCAAACCTACCTCCAGAGGAAGGGACTGGGAGCTCAGGGTATGCTGGGTGACCTCAGGGGGACCTGGGAAGGCTGAGCAGGCCAAGCAGTCAGGCTCCTCCTGGCTCCGGGACACAGAGTCAACCCAGCCCCACCTTGGAGATGCTCTTTAGACACTACCTTTCTTTTATTAAACCAATATAAATAGCAGGTGATCTAGTGATGAAATAGACTCCTGGCCCCTTCTAAGGGCTGGTCCATTTCTCTCTCATCCCTCAGGCTTCTTCCTCATTCTCATCTTCACCCACCTGGCCCTGGCAAGGAAGAAGGACCTGGACCAACCAGCGGACAGCATGCCCCTGAAGGACACTGTCTGAATGGTCCTGGCAGCGCCAGCTGACAGTGTAGACTCTGGCTCCAATGGAAACCACTGGGACAGAGCTCCACACCCGGATCCAGTGGGGACCAGGACAGAGCAGAAGCCCCTCCACTTGCCCTGGGTGGAGGCGCCATCGCCAGACATGACCAGAGCCTGAACTCTGACTGTGAGGTGCCATGGGAGTACTCCAAATAGCATCACCTTTGTTCAATAATAAAGCTGCAGAGAGCGGGACTGGGCCCTAAGGAATTGGCATGCCCGGGTCCAAGTGTCTATGTGCATGTGCACAAGCGTGCATGTGAGTGTGCACGTACCCGCCCCCTCGTGCCTGCCCCATCTCCTGCTACACAGAAAGGGTCTGAGGGCTTGAGGGACAAGGGGATGGACATGGGGCCCCTCTATGTGCTGTTGGTGAGATCATGGGGCCACGGCAAAGTGGGTCATCTCCTTGGACATCCAGAGTCCACTGGCCTCAAACCCAGGATGGGTTAACTCGGTGCAGGCGATGGCAGAGAAGGACTCTCTCTGAGGGTGCCATTTCTGTGTTTTCCTGGGTGTCACCCCTGCTTGTGGGGAGGCATGACCTTGCGAGTCCATGTCTTCTGCTCATGAGTCATCTACATGCTAGGACGGGTGGAGGACCCTCAGTCTCAGGAGGGGTGTGGGTACGAATGGCCAGAGCCCCAGAACAGGAGAGATGAGGCTGGGGTGGGGCCCTCTGGTGCTTCTGGGTCTCATGCATGGGCTGGTAAGCACAAGAAGGCAGAAAGTCTGGAAAGAAGAGTCACTCAGGTGGACACCACTGGGGTTCACTCCAGAGCGCCCCTGCCCAGGTGAACTCTGGCCCTGGCCCAAGATTAAGCCATAACGCTGATACCTACTGAGCCCTGATCTCATCTCCAGACTGACCTCTAATCCCTGACCTTTGACCGACCCCAGGCACACACTGATTCCTCATGATCCTTCCCAATGGTCTCTGGGGAGCCAGAGTGGGACTTGCCGTCCCAGGCACCCTGAGCTGATGATGACAAATCACGGGGAAGGGAGAAAAACAACCTCTGTGGGGCCCAGGCCCTATTTTTAGGAGATAATCTCTCCACTGCTGGCAGATTCTGTGGGATGGAGGCCAAGCTTGGCCAAAAGAGACAGGGCAGGCATCCTGACTAGTCTGAGGGCCCCCCTAGGAGGCTCAGCAGGGTGCCCAGCCCAGGGGATGGACTCTGAGCTGGCCCCAGTCCTTCTGGGCTCATGTACCCCACTGGAGGCTCGACTGACTACTCCAGCCCAAGCAAGTCTTCCCTGCCCCTCTCCCAGGAGCCTCTGCTCAGCGTGCACCTACTCAGAAGGCTTGTGGGGTTGGTAGGTTCTTTGGAGGTAGCATCTCATCTAATCATCTCATCAACTGCAAGAGTTGGTCCCATTTTCCAGGGGGAGGATCTTGAAGGTCCGAGAGGTTAGGGGCTATAGCTGGGAGTCTTAGAACCAGGGCACAAAGTGGAATTGTCCTGTCACCTTTTTTTTTTTTTTTTTTTTGAGAGGTTTTTGCTATAGGGTGCGTGCGCTTGCCAGACAGACAGAGAGAGACAGAGAGCCAGAAAGCAGGAAATCACCCCCCAGGGGGGATGGCCACGCTGCAATCCCTTCTCCTCCATTCTCCTCTTGGGATCTTGGGCATGCACGCACACGCGCCCGGCGTGAGTTTAAGCCACCGGGTCCGGGACTCGAACCGCGGTCGACTACGTGGGAGTCCAGCGACATAGCCATTACGCTAACTGCTGGTCCCTGTCCTGTCACCTTTCAACTGTCCCCAGCCTTCAACTAACCTCTGCTCTCACAGGATCCCCCAGAAGGGCCTTAGAGATCACCCAGGACAGCTCCTTCTTGTAAAGGTGGGAAGGGAAATTGCAAAGGGGCTCATACAGCCAGTGACATGTGACACCTGAACTGGAACCACTCTCCTCCCTGAGTCCTTGTTCTCGATGGATGGGCAGATATTAGGTAGATGGGTGAGGAAGGATAGATAGCTGCAGAGGTGGGCAGATGGCTGGGGGACGGTAAGTGATTGCATGGATGGGTAGATGGATAGTGAGTGGTGAGCGATTACATAGATGGGTAGGTAGAGAGGTGGTTGTGGGGGTAAGTGGTTAGATAGGTGGTGAGTGGGTGAGTGATTAGGTGAATGGGTAGGTAGACAGGTGGGTGGGTGAGTGGTTAACTGGATGGATCAGCAGGTAGGTGGGGGCTGAGTGGTTACATGGATGGGTAGGTGGACTGGTGGGTAAATGGATGGGTGGCCGGGTAAGCGGGAAAGTGAGTGACTAACGAGGAAAGGGTGGAGGACAGGATGCTAGGGCAGATTAAGGCATCTGCCCCAGTTTGAGGCTTTTCCAGGCCTCAAGTGTGTGGAGTCCTGGTGGTGTCAACGCTGCAGGTGACCACAAGGTCTTCTCCGGGGACAGGGGGCTTAGTTTCCCTGATCGTCTGTGGATATAAACCTCTCCTGTGACCCTTGGCCCTATTCTATAGGGGCAGACAAGGGTCAGAGAGAGTGTGGCTTGTCCTGGGTCACAGGGCACATCAAAGCTGGCTCTGGTCTCTGGGCTTGGCAGTGGGACAGTGAGTACTCACAGGGATTCACTCTGAAGGCGGGGCCTAGGCCCTGCCTGGGCAAGGGGGATAACTGGTGGCTCAGCCTGGGCAGAAGGGCATGTGATCTGTGCTCTGCTTATCCTGGCTCCGTGTTTCCAGGTGAACTGCTTTACCTTTCTGAGCCTTGGTTTACTTGCCAATAAAATGGGCCTGGTTTTGCAGGGTTGCTGGGAGGGCTCCAAGTGACAGTGGTGCTTCGTGTGCATAGTGCCAGGCACGCAGTGAGAGTTCAGTAAGTGCAGCTTTCCCGTACATGGGTTGTCGGGGGTTACTGTACGTGCCTGCAGCCTCATACACATACACTCTTCTTAGTGGCCCCCTAGAGGATCAGACTTTGGGGATGGAGCCCCAGTTTTAGTCCCCCCCCACCCCGGCCTTGCTGGGTGATGCAGGGCAATACCCCTCCCAGCCTTGGCTCCTGCGCAGTGCCCAAGCTCTCTCTGTGCTGATGAGGGGTCTCCTGGGGCTCTGACTGGTTTGGGGGTTGAGGGGATCGGCCTGGTGGGAGCCTCCCACTCCTCTTCTCCCAGGCCCCTTCCAGAGGCGCAGGGCCAGATCAAAGAGACCCAGCACTGAGGCTTGGGAGGCGGGCTAGGAAAGAATGTAAACATGAGGATATTTTTAAACTTTTTCCAGCCCCAGGGATTAGGGCTCTTGAAGTAAGAGGCCTAGAGGTCAGCCTGGCTCTCAGCCACGAAGAAACAGTCTTGGAGACCCCACCCCATCCACACCTACCTGCACCCACCCCAGGACTATAGCTTGGGTCTTCAGAGACTTCTTCCTGCCGCCTCACCTCCAGATATCCTGGGCCGCAGGAAATGTTCAAGGAGAGGACTCAGAGGTGTGGGAGGACCCAAAGGATTGCAGGGGTTGTGGGGGCCTACTTGGTGGGCTAGTGTTGGGAGACCCCTGGGCAACCCTGTCACTGTCTCAGGAGAGTATGTGCATGCCCATGTGCGTCCGTGGGTGTGTAAGTGCACGCTACGGTCTGGTCTGTGTGATGCTCACACTGGAACGTGAGTGAGGGTGTGAGGCGCTCCGCCTAGCTGTGCCCTGACCTGACTCCCTCCCCAGGACCCCTTGGGTAGGTGGGCGACAGGACGCAGATGTAAGGGTCAAGGGCAAGAGTCACCTGAGAACAGGAGACAAGGAGGCCAGGCGGAGGAGGGAGTGGGGCGGGGGAGGGCGCAGAGGCGGGACTGGGGGGCTGGGTCCAGGTCATGTGGTGAGTCAGGCTATGGGAGCCATGGAGACTGGGGGATTCAGCTCCCTTGATTACGCCAAAGTGTCACAGTGACTCAGAAATGTGAAGACAGGCTTCCTGGATCTCCTGTGTCTGGTGTCACAGCGACGCTCAGCTCGGTTCCATGACAACAGCCTCTTCCCTCAGAGTGACGCGACCACCCTCACACACTTGCAGGAGTGTCACAGGGAGACTCAGTCACAACATGCCACCCACACACCCTGTGGTCACGTCCCGAGGACCCCTACGCGTGGGACACGGAGACCTTCACTCTCTCCACATCCCCCTGAGCAGAACCCCTGAGCAGAAAGTCAAGAGTCAGATTTCCCAGGCCCGTTACCCAGATAGGGGCCTAGCCCAGGAGAGGCCCCAGCTGGCTGCCTCCTGTGCGGCAGGGGCTGCTTTGCTGTCTTGCCCTGCTGATGGGCCCAGAGACGGACAGCATCCAACTCCAGATCACGCAGCTCCTCAGTGGAGGGCAGGGCTCAGGCCCAGGCCAGAATCAACAAGGCCGTGTGATCCCCTCCAAGGATGAGGCCTGGAGCTTTACCACATGGTGTGGTGGGATCCCAGATGAGGGGAGAGCGGCTGGAACGATGGGGCAGGGGACCTGGAGACTTGAGCTCTGTCCGAGCACCAGGACTGGCTGCCTAGAGACATGGCTGTATTGTCCCAACTCATTGGCGCCCTGCGTGTGCCCACTCCCTGGGGCTGTTGCTATTCTTGCCACTTGGTGGTGGCAGTGGGGTCAGAGATAGTGGCTGGGTGGGAGGGAGTCACGAGCACAACCCCTTATCTGACACATTCCCTGGAAACTTGGCAGGGGCTGCCAGCCTCTAGGGGCCCAGGCAGGGCGGTGTAGGGGGCAGGTGTGGGAGGGCGCTGCTCGCAGGGACGCAGGGCTGAGCTCACTCCAGATGGAGACCATCTCTAGTCGCTACCTCTCCTACAGAGCTGGCCTGGGGTTTCCCAGCAAGGTTTCCTCCATGTGCTCATTAAGATGCCTGGCCATCCTCAGTTCCTACCCAGCCCTACCAAAAAAGCACCACCATTAGTGTCACTTTTGAGCTCTTTTTCTTTTTTTAAAGAATTATTTTATTTTATTTTATTTATTCATTCATTTATTTTAATTTGACCAGAGAGCAATTCAGAGAGAGAGAGAAATTGAGAGAGAAAGTGAGAAAGGAAGCCACCAGGTCCAGGGCTCGAACATGGGTGGCCATGTGGGAGTGTCCAGTGCCTTAACCACCACGCCACCTGCTGGTCCCCCTTTTCTTTTTCTTTTTTTTTTTTTTTAAGAGAGAGATTTTTGCTACAGGGCACATGCTCTCACCAGAGAGACAGAGAGACAGAAAGTGAGAAA